TCTTCGACTCCATCCGCAAACACGACGGGAACAGCTTCAGGGACCTCCTGCCGGGTGTGGGGCAGTGTGGGGGGCTCGGCGCCGCGTCCCCCCTGCGCCAGCGGGGCGGAAAAGGGGCAGGGAACGCCAGGGGAAAAGGGTGGGGAGCTGGGAGAAAAACCAGGGAGATGGGGTTGAGAAAAGGTGGGAATATGGGAGAAGAGGTTTAGGGAGAAGGGGGTGAATGGAGTTGGAAGTGTGGGGGGAAAGAGTGGGAAATGTGAAGGGGTGGGGAATGTGAGGGAAATAGGGGAATGTGAAGGGAAAAGGATGGGAAATGTGAGGAAAATAGGGTTAGGGTTAGGGGAAAATGGCAGAAAACGTGAGGGGAAAATGGCGGGAAGATTGAGGGGAAAATGGCGGGAAAATGTGAGGGGGGGAAAAAGGGCGGGAAAACGTGAGGGGAAAATAGTGGGAAATGTGAGGAGAAAATGGTGGAAAATGTGAGGGGAAAATGGTGGAAAATGTGAGGGGGGAAAAAGGGCGGGAAAACGTGAGGGGGAAATGGTGGAAAACGTGAGGGGAAAATGGCGGGAAAACGTGAGGGGGGGAAAAAGGGCGGGAAAACGTGAGGGGAAAATGGTGGAAAACGTGAGGGGAAAATGGCAGGAAAATGTGAGGGGGGAAAAAGGGCGGGAAAACGTGAGGGGAAAATGGTGGGAAAACGTGAGGGGGAAAAGGGCGGGAAAACGTGAGGGGAAAATGGTGGAAAACGTGAGGGGAAAATGGTGGGAAATGTGAGGGGACAATGGTGGAAAATATGAGGGGAAAAAAGAGTGGGAAAATGTGAGGGGGAAAAGGGCGGGAAAACGTGAGGGGGGAAAAAGGGCGGGAAAACGTGAGGGGAAAATGGTGGGAAAACGTGAGGGGGGAAAAAGGGCGGGAAAATGTGAGGGGAAAATGGTGGAAAACGTGAGGGGAAAATGGTGGGAAATGTGAGGGGAAAATGGTGGAAAACGTGAGGGGAAAATGGTGGGAAATGTGAGGGGANAGCAGCAGTGTTTGTGAGCAGAAAACACGCATGGCGCCTCGCTGCGGGCCAGGACCGCGGCTCACTGTCCCTTTGTGTCCCCCCAGGCGAGTACACGCAGATGTCGGGGCGCGCGGGGCGCCGCGGGCTGGACGCCACCGGCACCGTCATCATCCTCTGCAAGGGGCCGGTGCCCGAGCTGGCTGACCTGCACCGCATGATGCTGGTGAGCGCTCGGCGTGTCGCTGCCATGGCGCTGCCATGTTGCGCCATCTGTGTGTCGCCGCTTGTGTATCGCTGCCACGTCACCGCCGTGTCACCACCTGTGTATCGCCACCACGTCACCACCTGTGTTGCCACCATGTCACTGTCATGTGCCCCCACCCGTGTGTCACCGCTGTGTCCCCATCCATGTGTCACCACCCGTGTGTCACTGCCATGTCACTGCCGTGTCGCCACCTGTGCGTCACCGTCATGCCACCACCATGTCACCACTATGTCACCTCCATATCCCCACCTGTGTGTCGTGTCACCACCACGTGTCACCACCCGTGTGTCACCGTCATGCCACTGCCATGTCACCACTATGTCACCACCACATCACCGCCATATCCCCACCTGTGTGTCATTGTGTCGCCGCCACGCCACCACCACGTCACGCAATGTCACCGCCGTGACACGTGTCCCCGCCGTGTCCGCCCAGGGCCGCCCATCGCCGCTGCAGTCGCGGTTCCGCCTGACGTACCCCATGATCCTGCTGCTGCTGCGCGCCCCCGCCCTGCGCCCCCACGACCTGATGCGCCGCAGCTTCGCCGAGTTCCCGCTGCGGCGCGACGCCACCGTGAGCCTGGCTGCGGGGACTGGGGGGCACTGGGAGGGACTGGGAGGGGA